GCATGCGCAGGGGTCGCACATACATACATGGGAGGGCAAGTTCTGCATGCTTTCAGTACTCTGTACCAAAAAGGTAGCCATCACTGAAGTGTCTAGTTTAATTTCAGACATGTCACTTATATCATAGTTAACAGAGACTTGGCCATGAAAATATTGCACTTTGTAGCCTATCAAGCAACATACTATTTGCATTTAAACATAGTTCAAAAAATTAAAAGTTCAGTTACCAGAACTGCCCGATCCTTTTCCACGGTCATTTTGACCAGCAGGCATTGCAGAAAAACTCACATTATAATTCGGCCTATTTTGCGGAGAAGAATGAGGCATGCTTTGTTGAGGTTTAGTCTGGGTTTGAGGCCTAGGGAATCCAGGGCCCTGTGGCCAGCTGCCACCTCCCATTGGCTGGGGAGATGGTTTCTGTGGTGATCCCATAGGAGGAAAAACCCCTCCCATTCCTGTAGGTGTATTGGGTTTGCTGGCCAAGGAAGGACAACCTGGAATGTGAAGTAAAGCAACGTGTATTAATGTTATGTTTGGCTTAGCAAGAAACCAGAATGAGAATTGTTACACCTATAACCAAGTATCAAGTCATGGGAACTGTAAATAAAACCCATTTCCAAGATTATAAATGCTGACAATTATTATACTCCACAATAATACATAGGCACACAGATCTTACGAGGCAAATTTCCTAATAGCTTTAGGAGTAGGAGTAGAGAATGGCTGTACCCTTCAGCTTCTCCAGAACAAATAAAATGATATGTCCTGTTACTTTCAAGTGCAGGATGAAGTTGTGATTAATTGACTGCTTGGGGTGCGGGTGGGGAGCGAAACTTAAAGTCACCCAAACAACTTGAATGTACTGTATAATCAAGAGACTTGTTCATCATATTTTAGGCATCATTCTATTCATTAAGAATATATTTAAGACATCATCAATTGCAATTCTAATGTTTTACTTTTGCTTGCATCTTTGTATCATTTCCCTATTACTGACTTGTGGCATATGACCTGGCGTAGCTGCTGGTGTGAGTCAATAAAAGGGAATGAGAAAAAGGGAGAAGCAGCTCAACCTTGGGCTTGAAGGCCATCTATGTTGTCACTACTGCTAGCTGGAACTGATGTGAGGAGATGTAGAGACAGCAGGCCCATCGGTCGAGTCTGATATATGGGTGTTGGTGACTGCAGCTCTGGGGGGGGGGAGTACCCACCTGCTCAGTTTCTGAGGGACATGTTGCTGGAGTGGGAGGGAGGGAGAGATAGAGGAGAAAACAAGAGAGAAATGTGGTATAAAATAGAGTAGTTAGCGACAGAAGTTGGACAGTGAAGTTTTGTGCAGAGCA